TACAATCCCTACTTCTGCCTTGGCCGTAGAGGGATAGACTTTTATTTATTTTGTTTATTTAGTTATTCCATGTCCTTTTCTCTTATTACTATTATTATTATTACTATTCTCACTCTGAATGTTTTCCACTTGACCCAATTGTCATTCTAAACACAAAATTATTTAATTTTTATAATATTGGATCCTATCTTATCAAATTTCACACCATGTTATGTAACATTTTATATTCGTCTACTAATCCTGTAATTATGTACCCCTTTCCAACATCTATACACCTTATGTATTATTCTATATATGACATTAATTATTTTGCCACTTGACATTAAACTATGATTATAATCACAAATATTTTAATTGCATTTGATTTAATTCCCTCACCGGATTCATGATTTAGCACTACCCTCAATCAAGGCCTTCAATAAGCATCCACTCCACCTTGACATGGTGAACTACGCTGGTCACAGCTTCTCGCTAGAAATTGAGATAACTTTATCCTGTAGTCAGTCACCCAGTGTGGATGAAATTAATTTTCAAAAGTTAGTCTGTATTGGGTTTGAATGGTCTCAAGTTATGATCACAAATTGATATCAGTTAGATAAAGAGATACAATTTATTTAAACAAATAAAAAGAAAGTATTTGTGATCATGCGGCCTAGTGGTCTAGGGGTATGATACTCGCTTTGGGTGCGAGTGGTCCCGGGTTTGAATCCTGGCTGGGCCCGTGGTTTTCATGTCACCAGTGGTTTCCGCCACTCCCCGTCGTGTGTCATGGTCACACGCCGCCGACTGACTCACACCCGCCACATGCGTCGGTGGCATAGCGGTTAGGTCGCTCGCCGACCATGCACATGGTCCGGGGTTCGATACCCGGCCGACAAACTCCTTTACCTCGCTAAGCCAGAAATAATGCTGGTGAAGAGGAAAGGTTGGGCATGAGGCTAGCAACTCCATCCTGTAAAATAAACACTGCTACAGAAACTTCAAGCCACCAGCTTGAAGCCCTATGTTCCACTGGGGAACGTGAAGGATAAAAAAAATTTGTGATCATTGTTATTAGCGTGATGGTGAGCTGTATACATAAAAGATAGCAACAACAAAAAAAAAACAGTAAGTAATATTAAGTGGTAGATTATAACTAGACAAAGCATAGAACATTCATACATACCGTTGTAAAATTGCTTTCGTCTTTCTCTAAAAAATAAAAACAGAAATAACAATTAGATTACTGGAAAGATTGATATGAATTGTTTTAGGGTTAGTTAGGTCAGTGTACATTGTTAATTTTTGAATACAGAGGTCAAACAGGCAGAATGACATTGATGAATTGTGATGCTTAAAAAAATAGGTTATCTAAACAAACAAAATATGTGATTTCATCTTTTAACAGTGTTATTATTATTATTATTAATAGAAATAATGATAATAAGGTCCTTAATTCAAACAACATAAAGTTAATGAATATTTCAAATAGTGACATAGATGGTCCACTTTTCTAAGCACTAACACGATCACACTCACTGAGACTAAACAAAACATCACTGAATTGATGTCTTCATTTGGAGTTTAATTCTGTTAAGTGACCAGTAGCTTAACCTACTGAACTAAAAGGTATATTCAAACGAAAGTGATATTTATCATTATGGATGCCTTTTAAAAAAGTCATTAGATTGTGAACAGCTTATACATGCAGTTTAGTAAAGCTTGGAACACATTCTGTTAAACATGGACTGTCCACAGGCACCAACAACTTAGGAAGTCATCAGAAAACTTTGAAGTGATTCTATTCGAACCCTCCTAACTTACCATTCATTTAACTTCTAATGTTTTATCACAATTCTATTAGAGTTTACTAGACAATTTTTCAATATTCAAGAATTGATCTGTAAGGATTAGGTTTGTTTTTACGAGTCTGACCACGGATTGATATCAGTTAGAGAACCATTGAAAACCAGGGAGTACTGTAAAGCTGTTTCATCCTAGTTTGAGAATCATAGGCAGTATGCATCTGCCGACAAGGTTCGAACCCAGGACCTTCCGGTTACAAGGCAAGCTCGTATACCATTCAGCCATTGAGACCCGATTCAATAACCAGTCCATAAATTCTAACTTCTACCAATTCGTGATTTAACGCGACCACCAACCAATGTCATCGGTGAGAAATCCATCCTCACACTTGACTGGATGGACCTGACTGGTCACGACTTCTCATTAGAACTTCAGGAGACTCCACCCTCTAGCAAGTCACTAGCGAGCATCAGATTAATTTTCAAGAGTTGATTTGTAAGGATTAGGTAGCCTGTTTAAACGTGACTGTTATTTTAACTAATGTACCTTTAATTAACAGTTAAATGTAGTACTGCATCTCAGTGTTTCTAATTTCATGTAAACATTCAGTATTGATAAACTAGTTATTTGCTATTCTAATACCCTTCAAACAAAAATTTGAACAAATAAAGTTTCAATCGGGAAAAAAAATCGAAAGATAAACATAAAATTAGTATCATGAAACAAGTAACAGAAACTTACGCTCTTTGATATAAGAAAATAAGAATAACCGCGACTATGTAGAAAAGTAAATAAACACCCACAGCTCCAAGTATCGGCAGTAAATAAGGCCATTCTTCAATTCCGATGGAAAACAAAAAAAAAATATTCAAAAGAGAAAAAAAGAAAAAAGTTACGATACATAAATGAAATTTAAATATTAGCTTATATACTACACATCTGAGGGAATAGATTAATTAAACTGAATACTTCATGAGAAAACTTGTACCACTAGGTGTATGACAACAATAAGTAGATGATTTATTCTCTACTAAGATGCCTAAGTGTATTAATAGCAGATACTTTCCATTGATTGGAGGATTTCATCATGAGCTGACATCGGTTAGAGAACAAAAGGAAAACCTGGGAGTACTGGACGGCTGTTTCGTCCCAGTTTGGGGCTCTTCATCGATGTGTAGTCCTGGGTTCGAACCCCGGTAAGTACTGCCGAAGAGTTACAAAATAGGACTAAACAGCTGTCCAGTACTCCCTGCAGGTTTTCCAATTGGTTCTCTAACCGATGTCAGCTCATGATGAAATCCTTCAACCAATCAAACAAAATCCCTACAAACCAATACTTAAAAACAGATATTTTTAGCTCAACGATATGGTTTGGTTTGAGGTATGGGCTTATGTGAACCCAATCACTCGCCTACCTGTTGCAACAACGTGGTCTTAACATATTACACATACAGCGGTAAGAGAAATGAAGAGGAAATACTTGTTACGTTCTAAACGGTTTAAGGTATATGATGAATAAATATTTGAATTTTATTATACTGTTATAAACACTGGCCACAGGTAGCATGTGTTATAGTTATTATTCCCTTGAGTTCAAAGTGGAACAAAAGGCTTCAGCAGCACATTTCCATTAAACGCTGTTCTTTGAAGTCTTTTTTAGCTCGCTCTGTTATTTCCCATCTCACACTATCTCTCACATGTCAACAACCGATACTCAGCTCCTCGTTTCCCATCAGGGTTCCATTTAAGGGCCTGTCCACCATGTGATGTCACTCGATAAAATCCTCAGAGTATTTCCAATTCATTTCCATTTCCTTCTGCATATGTGTCAGATAATAGGTTCGTGATTGGCTCGTTTCCAGATTTCCTTGTTAATGATGTCTTCTGGATATCTGATCGTTAGTATCGAGTGAAAGCATCCATCGATGATGTTGGAAATGCCTTCTGAACCACATAGAAGTACTTATTTGACATTAGTGTGTTTTTCACAACTCAATTTGTTCATTCTGTAGTTGAAACGATGCCGCCTAGATGAGTGAAGGAAGTGACTTCTTCCAAATTTTCCCGGTTGACAGCGATTGGTGCATTTCGTTGTTGGTGGTTCGATATCTTTATCACCTCTATCCCATCTATGTTTACTTAAAGTCCTGCCTTCGCTGCTGTTTCTGCTAACTTGTTGGTTTTCACCTGTAGATCCTTGAGTTTGTGTGATACTAGACAAGTCATCTACGAAGTTCAGATGCTCCAGTATCTTCTCGTCAGTCAAGTTTAAAATAATTTTATTTACACATATCAGTGATGAACTCCACAAAGAAGTGTATCAATTCACAATAACAAAGTATTAAGTTTGAGATATGTTGCACAGGACATATTAGATGAATGAACTGTAGATATAATGAACTGTAGGCTGCATCTAAAAAGTAACGCATCTAAGGTTTCCGGTCCAGTAACTTATACATCCAAGTGGATAATATGCTGACGGCATACATTGCCTTAGGAATAAATGAACCCAACGGATAGCTGCTATCTTGACGTGGTGGTTAGGATTGCATATCGCAATGACCCAACAAGCTACACTGGCTGGAACTAATGTTCCTGCAGGTCCTACCATGCCAAGAAGATTGTTAGGGTAGCGATTAGACTAAAAGCAGTTACCGGCATTGTGTATGAATTTTTTTACACTATGCTGGGGGTCTGTGAGCGAAATCGTACTGCTGGAGAACAGGGATGTAACAGCAGTAAGGTGTTTCCCTCAGATGACCAGCATGCCACTCTGGAGAGAGGTTAGAAAAGGTTAACCCCAACAATTGTACATTCCGACTTACCCTACGGACGTCCGTAGGCAGCTGTAAGTTAATAATACAGAACAAACCTAAAAGCCAGTTCAAACAGGCCGTGTGCGACCGACCTCAATCAGTTTTCTCCTGGCCTCGGTTGTCACACAACACTAATTCTCTTTCTGTTTCAAATACTCCAAGAAAAAATCAACTTCCAGGGTGTGGGCATCCGGGAAGTAACAACCGCCTACACACTTCCAAGAGCACACGAAGCCCTACTGATTATCATTCTTCTTTATTCAGTAAGGATAAATGGAATCATGTGATCAGCGAATACCAAATCATCTAGAAGAATTTATAAATTAACAATAAATTTTATTATTAAATGTATTTGGATAATGAGGATTTATGAGTAAAAAAACAATTAGTCAAACATACTTCTAGGAGTAGATCTGACTATAATTTGAACAGATTTCGTTCGTGATCCAGGAAGATGAATTTGTGAGTTGTATGCGCGTATTTTCTCATCTAGGAAAGTTTTCACAGAGAGAAAAATCATTGAATGATTAGTAAAAATTTAACAGAAAAATATGTCGTGCAGAATTCATTATGAGATCAATTTAATGGATTACCAATATACGGCGTAGCCATGCGACTCTAATTGATCGCCTCCATTTCACAGGATTGCTGTCCTATAGATTGTTTAGGACTGAGTGCCTCCCCAGTATTGACTGAATTTGAAAAAAGTAACAAAGGTTATTGAAGCAGGCTTTGATGAATTCATCAGATTTCGGTAGAACTCTTCAGCTGAATACTCTACATACAGGGATTATATATATACCATCAGAATGACATTGGGAGAGATAAGATTGTGATAAGCAAATAAACTACATTGAATTAATCATGCAAAACGACACATGTAAATGTTTTTCAAGTCATGTTCAAATACATAAGGAGAAGAGAGTATGGGATATTAAAATTAAGATAAAATGTATTACGGTTTAATTACACCACTTAGATAAACAATTGGTCACCCGGGAAAGAACTTCAATATATCAAGAATTGCGAACTGAGTAATATTAATAACAACAGTAATAATAATAATAATGTTGAAACGAGTTAAGATAATGCTACTGATAAAAGGTAGTTTTAAATAAATCAGGAATAATAATAAGAGGTAGAATAAATTGTTAATAATAACAGTTAATAAGTGAGACGTATTACCACAATAGATTCAGAGGGACGACCATTTCCTTTTGTACACAGAGACCTGGTTTATAAACTCTAATTGCACAAGCCTCCGCAATTACAAGCATCTTCCTGTTTTTTTGTCTGCTGAGAAAAGCGAATAACTTGAGAGCGTCAATATCATTTCCATAGTCCACAAGATGCTTGGTTATTGAACTTTTTGCCACTTTGACTTCAGCTTTTTTTCAACCATTTTGGCAAATGCTCCATCATGCGAGTACTATTATTATTATTATAATATTTCTCAGTTCGCAATTCTTGATATATTGAAGTTCTTGTCCTGGTGACGAACTGTTTATCTAAGTAGTGTAATTGAACCGTAATACATTTTATCTTAATTTTAATTTCTCATACTCTCTTCTCCTAATCTATTTGAAACATGACCTGCCTTTCTGCATGATTAATTCAATGTAGTCTATTTGCTTATCATAATCTTATCTCTCCCAATTTCATTCTGATGGTATATACGTCCCAGCATCTAGAGTATTCAGCTGAAGAGTTCTACCGAAATCTGATGAATCCATTAAAGCCTGTTTCAATAACCTTTGTTGCTTGTTTTAAATTCGTATCGGGAAATAAATGTTTTCAATGATTGGATTCTTGTCGTGATAAAAGTCCGAAATGAAAACTGTAACCATTACTCCAATAATAATTTTTAATCCAATGTCAGAGAATCTCACGAAAAAAGAACAGTTCATTCGTTAAATATACAGTTTTCAAAATCTAGGTATAGGTTATAACGACGAATTAATGTTAGCTGGCTTCATTGAATAAAAGACAGTGAAGATGAATTTACAACTCATTCACACAATGACCTCGCTTATATTTTCACAAAAACACTGGAAATTCTGTGCGGAGCACAACTACAGCAGTAATTACCTGTGAGTTCACAGCATGGAATTTAGAAAGTGTATTTACAAACCTCTATCACTATACTGCTTCTGGAAATCGTGGGTGAATTTATTTACTCTTTAAATAGATGTGTACATTTTATTCGAATGTTCAACTACTGAGTGTAAGTAGCAGAGAGTTACAGAACTATGTTTTGTGTATGACACAGATCAGTAAGAACTTTTATAGATCCACGGTAACTCATGCTAACTAAGAATTTTGAACCGGTTTAATTCACTAGTACAGCAATAAAAGAAGAAGGTACCAATTAGGTGACGTAAGTTCCCTTAAAACTGAAAGAAAACAATATCAACATCGAATCTAATCCTACTTAATCATGGTGTGGTGCAACAACCTGAAATTTGCAAATCAGATGTAAAGCAAACGAAAGCGAGAAAATGAAATGGAAATAAGAGCACGAAAACTCACAAAGTGTTACAAGACCGGTGAAAATGTAAGGTCAATAGAGAAAGGCATATGTACCACTGCAATTAACTTAGAGTCGCATCCAGTTACAGGTGAAAGTGATCATATAGACCTTACCCAGCCAATCAACGTTCCTTTATGCTGCAGTCAGTGACTTTATAGATGTGTCATGTTTCGACCTGACAACTATTAACCTTCTATCCAACCTAAAACTCACACAGCCAGGCTCCGTACGCGTAAAATATGCCTCAACTGCCTCAGGTGACAGTGGAAAGTAGTTATTAAGTTTATGTCTAGTGGATTATTAGCCTCAAATAAGGTCATTCCTTGGTATATATAAAATTGCACATAATTTAAAAACCAGCACACAAGTACACCATTTAAAGAAAGTAAAAAGTGTGTTCCAAAGTGCGTACAATTATTTTGCCTAGTCTGTGATATGACAAAATAGGTCAAATCAATTTTCACTGTAATTGCTACCAAGAATTCACACTTCACCCACACACCCTTTTACCTTTTTCTCCCACCTTCTATCTTTCTCTAAGAAATATTCATGTAAATTTACACACCCTAATTTCAGATTATATTGGTTTTCAAGTATTGGTTTGTAGGGATTTGGTTGATTGGTTACAGGATTTCATCATGAGCTGACATTGGTTAGAGAACCATTGGAAAACCTGGGAGTACTGGACAGCTGTTGAGTCCTAGTTTGGGACTCTTCAGCAGAACGCACCCACCGGGATTCTGTTTTCCATAATTATTACCATTACGAGTTATTTTCTAGTCCTTACCAAGTTTGTTGTTTTACCACTGATATACTATTCATGACACTAATGAAATATACCTCATTGGTTTCAGCCACCGATTTTTCGTCAGTGAGTTCTGGATTCGAATCCAGAATCATTTGTTTAGGCATGTGAGACTAAACAGTAACTCTGTCCAGCGTGAAATAAATGTAACCAATGACCTGGTATATGAAAAATCTATTCTGAGTAATTGACTTTAAATTCCCCTTGGAACTGAGACTTTTACAACGACACCTAATCTTCATGAGTTAGTCTGTAAGGATTTGATGTGTTTGGCGGTCGCGCTAAAAAGTTACGAATTGATGGAAGTTGGAATTCACTGGACCATTGGATCGGACCCCAGTAGTTCAATGGTCTACAAGCTTGCCTTGCAACCTTAAGGTCCTGGATTCGAATCCAGGTGGGTGCGTGCCATTGAGGAGTCATAAACTAGGACGAAACAGTTGTCCAGTAATCCCTGATTCTCAATGATTTTTCCCCAACTGACATCAATCCGTGATCAAACTTGATACCTAATCTAACATACTGAGTTAACTACTATTTATATATGAGTTAATTTCACATGTCTTTTTGAATATCTGTTGTACTTCTAGTGTGTTTAACACTAAACTGACGACTATTTCATTGATTAAATCCTCACTTAACTCCCACCTATTCAAGATGCCCAGGGTTCGTAAACCTTCCAAGAGGAATTTGAATGCCTTATCAATGGATACTGTATTAATCACAGATTTATAACTAAACAGCTTGACAAGAAAATTATCACAAACTGTTCACACGTAAAATCAAAAGATGAATAATAATGAAATCATAATTACTACCACTAAGGATTTTTAGATCTAAAAAAGAAAGTAATAACTGCTTGGCGCTTTTCTTTCAGAACACCCAACTTGATGACTATATAGGCAATAAATATTAAAACTACAGGAGTTGTATTTGCTTAGAATAAATGTAAGCAGGAGAAAAGTTTAATCTTCCACCTTAAATGTTACCGAGCGATACATACATTTTTTTTCTCCAAAGATGCCATTTAATTTGTTGTGATAATTTTGTCAAGGGGTGATATATGATACGCTAAACTGATACGACATTGGTTATACCAGATACCATGAATCAGTTCAAAGATCTGATCTACTGAGTATAACTCGACTTAAACAGGTATAATTCATTATGTAATTTCTAACCACATTTCATTTTGTACACGATCGGATATTTTAGATGACATGCACATAATAACAATAATAATCTTTTTGTCTGTTATTTCATTTTGAAAGGGTTAAGTAACTATCATCATCATCTGTATTCAGGCGTATAAATAAACACAGCAAACAACTAATAACACATTATTTATATCAGCATATAGACATCCGTTTTCAACAAATAACAAAAACCCGGTGATCGATAAAGTTTATAGCTTGATTCCGTTAATTATATTCATCTTTTCATAGTCTAACATTATGCCATTTTGATTCATATAAAATGTCCTTCAGTTACTTTATTGGTTTATGTATTATTTAGTGTAGGAAAAGAAAACTTCCATTATCTAGTAGATAAATTATGACATAAATGAATTTAACAGTCATGTATATATGTACAAGTAGTTTCCTTTATATCGCTCAAAATATATGACTGATACAGTGAATCTCGACTTATGGAATGCTCAGCAGTCCGCTCCATCCTCCTTTATGGCTGTGAGACCTGGCCATTGAGAGTGGAAGATATGAAAAGGTTAGCTTTCTTTGATCATAGGTGTCTGCATTCTATCTCCCACGTGAAGTGGTATAATAGGGTGAGCAATATTGAGGTTAGGCATAGGTCGAGTGCTATGTAGGGAGGGGAAATCAATCGACGAAGCTGTGAAGCTACATCGACTGAGATGGTTAGGACATGTGTTACGTATGCCTAGCCATCGATCGCCTTCCTCGACGGGCAATGTTAGCTGACTGACATAGGATGGATCAAGTTGGAAAAGAGCCAGTGGTCAAACCAAAACATGGCTTCATCAGTCAATGAAATCCACAACAGTTAGTTTAAGCCAGCCACGTAGGAAAGTGTAGACTTCCTGACTGTTGGGGTCCTCGGGACGGTAAAAACCAATGGACTGGAGACAATTGGTAATATGGCTCAAAATCGTTCTCAATGACTGGAGCAGATGCA